CTCCCAGGCCAGCTGGGACCCAGGCAAACCCCGCGAGTGTCAAAGGGCTCCCAGGAACACGGTACCTGACAAGAAGCAAGTGGGGCTGCAAGTGAGTCGGGGTTTCCCAGGAAACGTAGCAGCCCGGCTGTGCCGGTGCCCGGCCCTTTTCCTGGGGGACACTGGCTGCAGGTCACTGATACACCAGGACGGGGTCAAGGGCCTGAGCTGCCCAGAGAAGGGGGCCGAGCCGCGTAGTCTGCTCGCTCGGTCCCAGCGAACCTCCCGGGGGCACCCGGGAGGCTGACTCCCACCAGGGCGCGGCCGGGATCACTGGGAAGCTCATTAGCAAGCAGGCGAGTTTTTACCACGTTAATGATTCTCTAATTGCGCTTTGCCGGAAGATGAAGGTGCTTGCTGAGGAAGGGTGGGGGAGGCCAGGCAGGCCTGCACAGGCCGTCTGCTTGCTGGGCAATTCAGCACAGGCCTGACGCTGCACTGGGGGGGGCGGGGCGCGGTTCGACCCCCAAGGGAGGGGGCAGCCGGGAGCCCAGCGCGGGTGACTTGGTCCATGAGGAGGAAATACAGGCGCAGTTGCCCTGTACTGACACACCCTGGTAAGGAAAGATCCCACATCTGCATCCCCGCCCCCTGCCACCTGCTCATCCCCGAGCTGCCCCGGCCCTGCCTCAGTCTCTAGCTGCCAAGCTGGGCCCTCGGTGCCCTGCCCGGTGGAGAGCAACGAACTGAGCCGCGGGCCCGCGCTGTCTGGCCTGGCAGGGCCAACGGAGCCGGCACTCTCAGTAGAGCCCCCGGAATGGTCTCACCGTGGAGAAACTCGGCCTCCCGGCCCTGGTACTCCTGGGGCAGAGGCACTCTGCTCTTCGCCTGGTTGAAGATGGTGGTGAGGACCCTGTCGAGCGCCCTGGTCCCGTACTGGGGAAAGGAGAGAACAGGCACATGGGGCCGGGCGGAGAAGGCACCTGGGATGCTGCCTTCCCCAGCAAGGGGCGGCGAGCATGAACATCCCAGGAGATGCAGCCACCGGAGGCACGTCCACCAAGAACCTGATGGGCACGGACACGCCAGGCAACTGGCCTGCCCAGGCGTCTTCTCCCAGCCCCTAGGAGAGGCATGTCCTAAGCACAGGGAAGAGGCAGCGTGCCCTAGTGGATGGGGCACTGGGCTGGGGCTCATGTGACCTGTTCTCTTCTTAGCTCTGCTGTACATTTGCTGGGTGAACCTGGGCAAGTCTCCCCGCTGTGTGCCTCAGTTTCCCCCCTGTAAAATAGGGATTGTTACCGCCGTCCCTTGGAGAACGCTTTGAGATCTGCTGCTGCTGAGAAGGGTATTACCATTCCTGGGAGCTTCGGAGGGCCTGGCCCCAACCCAAACTCCCTTTGTGTGTGTAGGCTAGCTGTGCAGAGTCACTGCCTCAGTTTCCCTGTGCACAGGGCCAGGAGATATACCCCCTCCTTCCTGCCCGGTGTTGAGGATCAAGGTCCCTACAGCTCTCTCCTTACACTCGCCGTATGTTTGTGGTTTGTGCCAAAACCAAGAGCCCCGATCCCAGTCCTCCCAATGGGCCCTGGCTATTTTAAGCTTGCTAAAGCTACCGTGCGGGACTGTTCTGAGTCACCTTATTCTCAAAGTTGTACTTGCTGAGGTCTCGGGACTCGGTGGCTCTTCGGTCTCCATGAGTTAAGGCGCCCTGCAAGCACAGAGAACTGTTGGGGGAGACCCAGTGGGAAAAGCAACCGCTCAGCTAAGCCCCAATTAGCAACGGGCACTAAGGGGACCCCGCACCAGAGGGGCCTGTATCCGACCAGCCTCAGCAACGTGCACCAGGGTTCGACGGACTGTTGGAAATCATCTCAAGCCAGCCCTGGCACCTGGAAAATGCCTTTTCCTCCCGGCACCTGGCTGGCGAGGGAGACGCAAAGCTCAGTCTCAGCCCAGCGGTTGGATCACACCCCCTTTTCAGGTGCGGGTCCCCTTCAACGTGGGCTGTTGTGAATAGCCAGGGGGGTGGTGAGAGCGCAGAGCCGGTTGCGCAGATAAGCAGAGGGCAGGCGGGGAGGTGCTAGGATGGGAATGGAGAGCTTTGCGGCATCAATAGCAATGATGAAACACTAATGACGGCAAGGATAATTCACTGTCATCAGTCTGTTTCCTTATGGGAACGGGATGGGTGTTAACCACCCTCTGTTGGGAAATTCCAGCACCCCGACCCACGTGCTGCTGCCTCGCAATTCCCCTCCCGTCCCGACGGCATCGGCTGCTCTGCACTTCCCGTTCCACAGGCTGGCGAGCAGCACTTACGAGGCTCTCCAGGCGCTTGGCGACGATGGACGCGAACCTCCTCTCCCCGGCCAGCTCGGAGATGAGGAAGACGTACTCCGGAGCGGAGACCTGGTTCGATCGGTGCGTGCGACCTGGGGACAGACGCGGGTGCAAAGAGGGAGGATGAGGTGGAGGCCGACCGCACCAGGAGCGTGCGGAACAGCTGCTGAGCAGGAAGCGAGGCTCTCCAGGCGCTTGGCGACGATGGACGCGAACCTCCTCTCCCCGGCCAGCTCGGAGATGAGGAAGACGTACTCCGGAGCGGAGACCTGGTTCGATCGGTGCGTGCGACCTGGGGACAGACGCGGGTGCAAAGAGGGAGGATGAGGTGGAGGCCGACCGCACCAGGAGCGTGCGGAACAGCTGCTGAGCAGGAAGCGAGGAACAGCGTCTGACCGCTTCCCTGGGAGCGCCCACCGGCTCTGGAACAGAACCCAGACTTGTCGGGGGAGGAGGCGTGTTCTCTCCTTGCCCTTGTGTGGCCCAGCCCCGCTCCCTGGCTGTGTCAGAGCAGGGCCACTGCCCTGACCGCTCCAGGAGCCCAGCAGCTTCGCCAGGCACAAATCGCTCCCGTTGCCCAGTCGTGCCGGACACTCCCCTACCATGCTCGTGAGGACAGGCGGGGGCCGGGCTAGCTGCTCCCTCTTCCTTCCTGCACCTTTCCCTCAGGGTCAGTTGATCACAGCTGCCTTGTGCCTGGACTAGCTCCTGGGAGGCGGCAGGAGCCCCTTGTTCCAGGGCCACCCACACAGCCAGGCTCCCGGGGGGGCCAGCCCAGGGCCAGGCTGAACGTCCCCCGTGGCCTACGAGCGGAGGGAGACGGCGATAGGGCCACGAAGCTCAGTGCTCACCAAACTGCTGGATGGCCCGGTCTGCACTCCAGGGCAGTTCCAGGGTCATGTGGACACGGCGCTTCTGGTTCCCCCCCCGCCGGTCTGCTTGGAGAGAGATCCCCGAACTGGAAGCCTCCGAGATGATGGCCACGAGCTAGGAGAGACGCAGGGCTGAGCCGGCGCACTGGCCTTCCCGGAGAGCTGGGAGACGGCTCCGGGGAAAGCCTTCGAGGCAGGCCCTTGTGGCAGAGAAACCCCAGGACACGGTCAGGCCTGACCCGTGGGAAGCCCCCTGCCCCTGTGCCACTCCCCAGCACATCAGGCCCCCGAAATTCACACTCCTTTTATGGGTCTGAGGGGCTGGCCTGTTACACCCAGCTCTCGGCTGCTGGAAAGGGACAGGTCGGGCACCAGGCTCCCGGGGTGCAGCACGGCGGGACTGCCATGTGCACACACCTCTGGGGGCGAGAGGGACTGCAAGGCCCCATCATGCATTGGGGCAGGACCCACAAGCCAATGCCAAGTCACGTTCTCTCCGTGTGCAGCTGCAGGGTCTCTGCTCCAGAGCCTCACCCACCTTTTCCCCACTCATAAAACGCTCCTTCTCCTTCAGGTTGACGTGGTCTATGGAGAGGCCCTGCTCGGCCCGGGACTCGTACTTGATGGAGCCATCGGGTCTGCGCACCACCCGGCCTTTCCGGCCAGTCATCTGCGTGGCCCGCCAGGGAAGAAGCAGGTCGTTAATGGGACGGACAGACAGACGGGGCGCACAGAGTGAAATGGAGCATTGTGGAAGCACATGGGCAGGAATTGATACTGGCCAGGCCTGGAGCAGTAAAATGCTCCCAAAAGGAATTACAGTTAGGGAAACTGAGGCAGTGAAGTAACTAGTCCAAAGTCACGGCAAAGTGTCAAAAGCACAGTAAATACATGGGGGGTCCCAGCCAGTCCCGGGGTGAGGATACAACCCAGGGTTCAAGGGGAGGGAGATAATGCAGAAAGCATAGGGGGGGGGGGGTTTAGGAGATGAGTC